GGTGCATGCTTTGGTCTGCAGCAGCCTAGAGTTTGAGCTCCATCTTGTAGGCGCTGCTCTGGGTAAACGGCGCTTGACAACATCATCATCCTTTGTGGACCTGCTGAAAAATGTCCCCAGTCCCTCCGCTGTTTTTAAAAACATGGCAGAAAAAAAATGACAGAGATCTGAGCTTTGTTTGTGACATCTGTGGTCTCGTCTACTTCTACAGCTACAAATGGGGCTGCACTTCTCCTTTTTAATGTCATTTATAATGACATCACCGACCGCTTCGATCAAGTCATTCTGTATTCTGTTTGATACGCCAGAAAATACAGTGGATGTCTCCAAATGTCTAGCTAGCCTGTCATCTTTCTCAGCAAAAGCATGCAGGAGCTCAACATAGTTGCCACGATTAGCAGAGCCTGCACTTTCATCATTTGCACGAAATGCCTGCTGCTGTTTGGCCAGGAGGCAGGTGGTATTGATGAGATCAGTTTCCGCTGTTCATCCAAAGCCAAGTCGATCCTGGAGATCCCAAACGTTTTTAGGGGGATCTGGCTTTGAATGTGAGTGGTAGACCGCTCATGTTTGCTGAGGCTTCTCTGCAAATTCTTCATGTCTGTCACAATGATCCCATCTGAGTGCAGACATTGTCACAGGTTTAACTAAAGACGAGATTTCTGCTTTGAGGATTCAAAATCTTGACGATAATTGAGATATTGCTCAGATAGTTTCAGTGTTTCAGTCACTTTTTAAAGTAAAACAAAGACTCGGAGCTACAAGTGAAGTAAGCAACTACCTGAGAGAAAGATTAAATAAATAAAACATATATTCACACAGATAATGTGTTTTTTTAGAGGGGTCAACAAACGTATTAATAGTTACAACTGTAATATATATAATATTAGTGTCTGTCTGAACCGATAATTGCATATTTAGAACAACGACCACTACCATCTAGTGGACACAGTGAGGAACTGCAACATTACGCTGAAACACAACCACAACTCACAATTAATGTGATTATAACAAACGATCCATGAATAGCTACGTTTAATAAATCAAGTAATACATCAATGCTATTAAAATACACCTTCGTGGATGACTTATCCTCTTCCGTTTACGTAAATGGACGGTTAACTTTATTGCGTGTTCGCATCGCCCTCTGGTGGCCACATTGAGGAACTGCAGGATTCAATTAGTCAGAATTGCGTCAATGCAGACGTAATATAACAATCAATACGTCCGGTAAATTCTACTTCCAAAATAAAATAACCAATCTTGGTACCACATTAACAAACTAACAAAATTTTTCTTCCGCTCCAGTGGTCACATGCAGTTAGAAACTACATGTCCACATTATTCAGTGGCAATATTACAGATATTTCTAACAATTATTATGTCTTTTTTGTTTGTTTTATGCCTAAAGTTACCGTGTTAGTATAGCGTATGTTGCTGTTACTTATAATCAGCAATGAGTTGGACAGTGATACATCATACACAACATATATTGTACATAATTATATTAATAACGTTATAGAGGTATTAACTATGTGTCTATACCATGAATTAAATCTAGTGAAAAAAAGCGGCGTTTTATTATTTCAGTTTAAAAACACATTATTTTGAAATTATCCACCGGAAGTATTAGCTCTACGTCTGCATTGACGCAAACTTTATTAATGGGATGTAGTTCTTCACTGTGGCCACAAGAGGGCAGTAAAACTCATGAATGTAAATACACATTACCCTTACATCACAGGTGGTAAAATGTAGGCTAGTCAACCCACCAAAAGGTAAATACAACAGGCTTATAAATACAGCTATTACGTGGATAAAGCGTGTTTAATTTATTTTAATTAATTTATTATTTACTGTCTATGTCCAGTAAAGTGATGCAATTATATGATGACATGAAAGAAGAAGACGAAATTTGATTAATGTATACATTATTAGTGTGATGTATGACTGGTAATAAAGTCATTAATAAAGATCTGTTTTAACTTTTTTTAAATATCAAAACTAATGACAATGATGAGAAAGTCTATGTCTGTGTTGACAGATGTATGAACACCAATAGGAAGTAAACTCTTAAGTAATGCAATTATTATTCATTAATTTATATATAATGTTATTTTTGATCATCACACTGATATTGATCTGTTCATATTGATAATAATGACTCCGCATTAGCCACTATTTTATTTATTGTGGTTTGTTACTATGACCACTGGAGGGCGGTAAAGACCTCGAATATGTGAGTTTCTAGCATCAAGTCAGACATACTACTATATTAACACTTTCAGTTAATACCTTCAAAATAAAATAATCCAAAGAGGATTCACCATTAGGAATCCTAATATGCTGTCCAAGTATGTAAATTTAAACATTTATTGTTGGCTATTTGTTGAAATGCAACACATAGAGCTGCGATGTACATAAAAAAATCTATAAATAAGAAAGAATTATAAAGAATAATAATGATCAAACTAGATAACTCTCCCCTGCACTCTGTAGAGGAATTTGGACTGAAGTGTTCTCAACCTTGTTTTTTGTACTACAGCACCGGAAAAAAAACAAATAAATGAATCCTAATACAAGTAAACAATGACACTTGGTGTTATGGAGGCAAAATACTTAAAACCAGATCCAGTCAACATCAGAGCCACAGTGCCAGTTGTTCTAGCATCACTTAATATACGTAACAGCAGGTTGGCACTGCAGATGTGTGATCTTTTTATTTTACATCCTAAAACCTGCTAAATGTAACTGAAGAACATTATTGTGTGAATACTGTGAAGAGGATATGGTGCTACTTTGTGTCCTCTGTCACACAATGAAAAAATAATGAGGTGGGGGCAGACGGATGCAGAGACGAAAAAAAAGTAATGTATCAATTATGTCTCTGATGCTGAATATCTAATATAAAGGGAAATACTTCAACTAATTTACAAAACCTCTAAAGAATTTATATAATAGTAATTATTATAATTTTGAGGATATTCTTTCCACTTAAGGTTCGTGTAACACAATGTTGTTGTTGCATTACTATTTTCACCACTACAGGAGTACTATGAAACATAAAAGATAGACTTGTCTGCCAACAAACAAAAGAAAGTTCAATAAAAGTGCACTACAGGTCATTCATTACCACACGTGTCCAAACTGCAAAGTGTTTGCTCTACGCCTGTGGGTGGCCTGTGCTTTCTGAAGTGCAGCAACTGTTAGTTTCCTTCCTTAAACAAGCAAGTGTAAAACTGGTCTGACAATGACAGAATCTCTTGAGAATCTGCTAAATGAGAACGAGTGCGCTTCCTCTTTCCACATATCAGATTCCGAGAGGTATTTCACATTTAATAAAAACAAAACGAGACAGAATTTCGTTTATTTTTTATTTTCTATAAAAGAGATGAGTTTATTCAATGATCATAACAGACTGAATCAGAGACCTCGATAGACCACTCACATACCAAACGATAATCGAGGAAAATGTTTCAACAGAACCCCCAAAACAGAACAAATGTAACACAAAATAAAATACCTGAATAAAGCAAACTCTCGGCTGAGCTGCGAGTCAGCACATTCTCTGTAGAACTCATGGCACATTATGTCCAACAGTTATTGTGAAAAGGAAAAAAAAAAAAAACGTGCTGATGTGAGTTCTAAATTTGTGTTCCGCATTTTGGTTTTAATTAGTATTTCATATTGTGCTCAGGCATGTCCGTTTTTCTAACAAGGCAGGGTAATTGAGAAAGAGAAAGGTAATTGAGAACAGGGGGAAATAATATTAATGATGGATTGAGTGGGTGCAGGAGTGAGAGAGAGAAAGAAATTATTATTTTCTGCATGGATATGAGAGTTTAATTGGACACTGTGCTTTCGACTGGGCGGATGCAGGGGCTGCTGCTGACGCAGGAAGTTTAGGAAAAATTGGGTTTGAAACAAGAGGGAAATTTCCTTGCTGAAATGAGAGATGGAGAGATATGGGAGAGCTAACACAGGACAAAGAAACAGGTCAGGCACTTCATCTGAACATTACTTTCTCCCCTCTGCCAAATCCCATTCCAAATGAAATATGCCACAGAGTTGGCTATAGAAATTTATCACAGCATTGCATACGGGTTTCTGATC